GACCTACCCCTCCTAAATCTGTGCTGGCTGTATCTGATCCCCTGGTTGTCCTGTAGGTGCCATGTGATCGCACCCAAGATGATCTGCTCCATAACCTTGCCAGGCACTGAGGTCAGGTTGACCAGCCTGCAGTTTCCCAGATCTTCCTTCTGGCTCTTCTTGTGGATGGATATATGTTTCCGTCCTATACAAATTCGGTAATATTTTTAAAAGGGAAGTACAAATTTGGGGTCCCTTGATTTTTTGACATATGAGTAAAATTAAGATAGAATTCTTTGACTATTGAGCTTCTAAGATAATTTCCATTAACTTCAGTAGATCACTTCTAAAGAAGGAAAACCAAAACAAAACAACCCAAAAGAAAATCCTTTATAAGAGTTGAAAATAAAATATTCCTTTATCATGCATTAAAAAAATTAATATGCTCTTTTCCAGCAAATGTGAAATCATATCACATTGATATCAAGATGATGATTCATGTTTTCCTCAAAGCCAGTTCTTTTTATAAATGAATGTATATGTCTATATATATAATAGATCAGGGTTTGTCATGCAGAATCAAATTAGATAACCTTAGAAACAGCTTCTCCAAAGTAAGATATACTTACCAATCTAGTTTCAACATGCATCATCAAGATATATCTTAAGTATTTGCTTGTTATCTAATCATAAATACATACTGCTGTAACTAAATAAAATTATTTTCAAGTGTTCAGTGCAAGTATGGATCAATGCAAGATGATAATAAAAGGTTACAATCTCTTTCAAAATAATTATATTTTCTGCTTTAATGAAGAGCAAAGAAAATAGTCAATTTGAAAATGCTAATCAATATCAGCATTTTTAAATTATGTACAAAAAAATGAAACATGCGTAGTATCAGTTTATCTACTTATGTAAGTAGATGAGACTATTTGCATACATATTGCAGATTACAGCAGGGAAAGAAGATTCATTGTTGGTTTGATGGGCCCACTTCCTCTTCAAGGTTTGTTAAGTCTAAGTCTTTGCTAATTCACAGAGTTCTGTACACGAATCTTTCATTCAGCTACAACAGGTATATAAAAAACCCCACAACATATATCCTTTAGGTTTGGAGAACAAAAAAAAGGCTTCCACTTAAGACTAGTTGCAATTCATACTAAATTCAAATGGCCTACTTATCATATAGATAATGAAAAGATACTCATGTTTGACACCTTGCTTCACTGATTCATTTGCTATTTCAAATGAAAAGAACACCTTTGCCTTAAGACCCATGTTTTGCATGTCACAATACCTGCAAGTGTGATACAAAACAGTAAACACACTGTCAAGTCCTCCAATACTTAATTTTGCCAAAGCTTATAGATCTATAGACATACCTTGCCAAATATTGCTGATTATTTTCTTAGATACTCCTGATGAGAAAATAATGCATAACACAAGTATGTACAGTGTACAGACATAGTATGTCCAGTAGTTAAGGTTTATGGCAACAAACTTTTAGGTCCAAACATTGCTTTCTGAGACCAAGTGAAACTTCCACTGATGACAGTCAAAATTATATACATAGAAAGCTAGAGTGCATGGCTCTTACTACTTAACAATAAATATGTACATACATGCTTAAAACACAAGCACGCAGAATATGTACAATGTTTGGTGCATATCAATATACAACACTAAAAACGTATAATTTTTTTTGGTACTATAGCAATAAATGTATTTACAACAGCAAACAACAAATGGCTATTAACAACTTTATGCTCTGGAGAACAATCATAAGGTTTTACAAAATGTTCAGTAGTAATGGAATACAGAAGAATTTCAAAAATATAGGAGATGAAAATGAGATTCAGTGGAAGACTGAATTTGCTCCAAAGTACATTAAACCATTACAACCAACTTGTGCTATAACTATGTCTTTGTAATACATGTCAGTGCATATGCTAGTCCTCACTTTTTAGAATTACAATAATAAGAGGTACTTGGTTTAATTTTATAATAGATTAGAACAGGACAATTATGTTCAATGCAGCACCTAAAAGTGGTATTTTAATGTTTAATCATGGAGAGGTTCTATTTTTTAACTAATAATTTAAAATAATCTTACCATGCAAAAAGTTTTCCAGAAATTATTTTCAACATTTTAAACTCTTTGATCCCATGAGAAGTAAAAACATATCATTAATACACAAGAAAGTTGCACACAGCATAATGTGTGTCACACAGTAACAGTAACCAACACAGTTAAGAGGGAAATATTTCACTTTGCAAGGAAGCACTATAATTTCTACAAGTTAAGGAGGGGAAAAAATCCTCCATTCTGACCCAGAACTTTTTATTTATATTTGCTACGTGTGTGCCTTTGTATGTACATCTAATTTTTAAACAAGAAAAAAAAAGTGGCATAGATATGCTCATTTTTCCTTAAAACCTTTTTATTTAATACCTCTTACTTCGCACTTACAAGTTCAAAGAGTACATGTAGTCAGTTAACACAGTTCAGTTTAAGCCGTGTTATCTCCTTGTGATCAAAAGGATACCTTGTTCAAAAGCCTTTAATCCACTTAGGTTTCTAAGTCCAACAACACTTTTCAAAGTGGGACTGAGAAGTTGGCACTTTTGAAAAATGTTTACCTAACGTTTACATAAAATAAAGTTAAGCAATACTGCTACTTTAAGTTTTGAGGGATAAAGATATGTAATGGGACAGTAAAGGTCAAGTCAATTAAAAAAATGGATGGTAAGCGTGTTCCCAGTTTCACCATTTTAATTATTATTTTCCTATTTTTAAAATGGTTTTGTCCATCTCAACCATATGAATTACTCAAACAAATAACACAAAGTTAAGAACTGAACAAATGACTATGCTGGGGAAGCAGTGAGAGTGACTGAAAGTACTGTCAGACACTTACGAGAAACCCACTAATTAAAACAAATTTTTAGAAAGGTTGGGGTTTTTTTTTAATAAATTGAAACTTGAATCTCTATCCAACCCCATGACTTCAGTGGTTTACTACTATACTGCATTTTACAATATTAACTGTTAAACAGTTGCATGTGCACAAACACTTTCAATCAAATATGTGACTGTGGCTGACAACATAGAACAGAAAAAATGTGTAGACAGTAACAATTTCTACACTGATTTCTACTCAAATACAGATATGCTATTAAATATGAAGCAGAACATTTATCTCGGTTCTGTGTACATCATGCTTACATGTTCAGAAGCATGGTTTATACAGATACTGATATATGCAGTAAACGTTCATACAGGCAATCAGTGCATCTTCTTCAAAGCTAAATGATGGTTTCTTATCTATTTGCCCTGAAAATACTTTATTTCATGTGGTCGAAAAGTAATGCCACAATTAGGCCCTAATCTACCATTACCTATGCGTACCTTACCATTACCAGTGGGTGGATCTTATAAAACAATACAAGATCTGCACTACTGATTGTGGAACCAAATCTCTGAATTCCTTCTCTGGGTGGTATATGTTGTTACCATTCAGTAAGTTTCATTCATTTTTAAAAACTTGGGAGAAACCTCTAGCATTGCTGCAAGAAGACCATGAAATGCAGCAACAATTTGGACCTGAGTAACAAGTCAAACATCAACTGCCTCTCCTGTAGCAAATGCATATAGTTAAGTACTTAAACATCCATAAAATTTAAAAAATGTAAGCTATCTGTCCTCTATTTTATCTTGGGTTTGCATCATGAAATAGCCACAGCACACACTTCCATCAACCAAAGATTATACCAAAATGAGACAGAATGTTATTACTAGTAGAATCGTATCTGTCTCCACCCCTCCTTTTTCCACATCAGTTAAGGATCTCAATACCTTTCTCCATATACAAAAGACCAACTGTATTATTTAAAGTAGGAAATAACACATTCGTAAGCAAGCATTAAAATAAATTCTGACTTCCTTTCAAATCTCCTTACCTTACTGAAAAGGCAGTTTATTACCCCAATATAAATCATTAGTTTCATATACATAACCCAAGACAAAAGTCTTTGGCATAAACACTCCACATCCATTTGGAACATTCCCATTCATCCAAACACTGGTGCAGACATATTTCAAGGCCTGCTAGTTTACGGCAGAAGCTGTATTACCAAAACTCCTACACAGTGTAGTAGAGCACATCAGATACAGACAAATGTGTTTTAATTCAAAAAGCTTATTTTAACACAAGCCAAATTCCTATTAAACAAACATTGCCTTTGCACACTTGTGGCTCCAAAATAACAACCTGTTTTAATAAAAGATAAATGATACAATAGGTTTTATTTCCTGAACAGTGGGTGGATTCCAAAGGTATTGAAGATCCTGCGATCCACCAGTATGCTTAAGGTTACTCTTCAGCTTCATGGGTGCATCTGGGTCTTTATGGTTTCTTTCTCATTTTGCTTTAAAAGTCAGTCTACAATTTCGGCATAAGCCCCTTATCCCATTTTGTCTCATTAAATAAAACTCACAATTTAAAAAATGAAACCGGTGACCCAACAACCTAAGACTCACAGAACAATGCAGATATTAAAAGCCTGTCACCATCAATCTGCAAAGAAACCTCCCTGCAAGTTCTTTCATTAATCTGCTCCTTATCACCACTGTCCTACACCCATCATCGCCGATATTCCCCCCAAACCCCCTCTACTGACCAGCCATCCTTTCCCTCTCCATTTTGGAAGACCGAGTTCCCTACCATATCAAACCCACCCATAGGAACCACGGTTATTTACCCAGCTACAAGCACCTCGGCGAAGCCTGCACATGAGCGTGCATACACAACACGGTGGCGGAGGAATGACGAGCGGGTCACTGCCACCATCGCCGCGGCCACCCCGCAAAGGTGGCAGGCGCCCAGGGGAAACCGAACCGATCACGCCATGTAATGCACCAGTGGGGCCAGCCGGACAGAGCCCGGGGCGGCGATGTCTGGGCTGCACCCCCCCCGTGGTGCTTTAAGGCGTGTGTGCTGACTGCGGCCCGCACTCACCCAGCAGCAGCAGCTTCAGTTCCCGACGGGCGTCCCGCTTGTCCCGGCGCAGCTGCCGCTCGATCTCGTCGTTGATCCGCCGGGCTTCCTTGGCTTCCTCGCTCAGGCAGCACGCCATGATGGACTCCAAAGTCATTCTTCCTAACTGGTTCAGACACAACCCCCACCCTAAAAGTGCGCGCACACACACCCCACCAGAGCACTAGCCCCGGGGGACACAGACGCTCTCTGCCCGGAAGCCCCACCTGGGCACTGCAGGACAAGGGCAGGGAGCTGCCTCGATGACACACACGTACAAGGAGAAAGAGTGGGCCCCTGGCAGCACAGATTCCCCCGTTCCCTGCCTCAAATAGTCGCTGCTTCCAACTCCTCCTCTCCTCTAAATTATACACCAAGCAACACGAAAACAATCCACCATAGCAGCCGTGGCTGCACTAGTGCTGTCTACGCTAGCCAAGCTGCTCAGCACAGACACCCTTCTCCCTCCTTCCCTCACCACTACTACTTCTGCTGCTGCCGCTGCCGCTGCCGCCGCCGCCGCCGCCGCCGCCGCTGCCGCTGCCGCCGCCGCCCGAGTGTCCCTCGCAAACTACACCCCCACCGCCTTCCAGAATAACCACCCGTTAATCCCTCCCCTCCTCCTCAATTACACTTCCCTGACGCTCCTTCTGTCCTAAAGCGAGAGTTCGGCTGCTCCGAAAGTAGGTAAGGCCGCCGCCAGGCAACCTCAACGTGCTCCTAGCGGGAGAACTTCCTTACAGTGAACCTTTCTTCCAGTCACGCTTGCCCCTCTCACGAGAACTACTGCTGAAGAGCTGTCGCAGCTCGTTCCTGCCCTGAAAGTATGAAAGAGAGGGGGGACGAGAGAGGAAGAAAAGGCAGGCAGAGACTGGGATATGCACACCGTAAACCCAGCTCGACGGGCTTTTCAATGGCTTGTCTATGCGGGCGTGGCGAGATAAAAATATGGCGGTCTCTCTCGCTGCCTCTCCCACTCTTCCCCTGCGCCGCTGCGCGATGGGAATAAGTGGCTGGCGGAGCCAGGAATTCCCGGGATGCAGCCCTCGACCATACTCGTTTTATTTGCTTTTGCTACCTTTGGTTTTAGTCGATAATGCACACTTTTATTATACCCTTGAATTCTTTTCCTAGAAGAGATGCCTTCGGTTCATAGGGAAAGGGGAAAAATGTAATTTACATGAGGGGAGAAGTATCTTCTCCGCCTTCAGATAGAAATTAAAATGTAGGGGATAAAAATATACTAGACATTAGTAAATTTTTTTATTCCGGTAATCCTGAAAATGGTATTTGAATAGTTCTGTCATATACAGAAGAAATAAAAGATGTTTACAACAGATAAAAACAGTAGGATACTTCCCTTGCTTGTAAGAACCTAATATTCTATCATCTCAAGGCATCGACATACTGCATTTTATATTCTGTTGTTGTGACCTTTATTCAACCAATGCTTTTAACTACCATCATTTTTCACAAACCCAGACCAGTTTGCCTTCAATTCCAGTACTAGAAAGCCTATCTTTAACATAGCCTTTAGTAGCTCCCAGAGTGATAGCACACAATTTGATGGACATATTAAGTTCTAGTTTTTGTGGATTTATAAAGCATTTCAAAATTCCCACAGCTGCCCTACATTTTCCCACCTCCATAATAAATTATCTATCTGGGAATATTGCAAAATCTCCCAGGGAAGTCATAGTAGTGTATTAAGTAGGTAGAGGGTGCATCACTCTCCATCTTTTAGTTTCACATGTGACGTCCTCTCCAGCACCTGTTGTCATGTGTTTTGAACATCATGTGCTCTTTCGTACAGCTGTTCATATATGTTGACAATATGAATTAAGTAGAGTCCTCCATAAGGTGTAAGACTAAGAGGAAATTTAAAAATTAAAATGTAATAGTCAATAGAATAATATAGTTCTCAGTTTTTAGAGCATGAAAATGTCTTTCATTACTTAAAAAATGCATTATTTTTGTTTAGATCTATATCAGTTTTCTATGTATAATGTATAAAAGCATTTAAGAAAATTTTGAATATTTTTAAGTATGTTTATTCTAGTAAATGAATATGTGAATTTTGTTCTGAACTCTGTAATCCTATTTATTAATCAATAATTATATTTCAGTAAAAGCATCTGCTTTATTTACCTGATGGGGATTTTAAAATTCATATGTATGTAGGTATATGTATATATTTCTCTATCTTATGGTCCCAGATGTATTCAGTAATAAACATTTCTATACATTGAATTACAAATATGATAAATATAAAAATGAAAATAAGTAACCAAAGGGGAAAAAATTTTTCTTCATGAAATAAATTCTCAGCATATCAGAATTTCCTCCTAAAAGTTGTGGTCCAAAAAGTTGAAAATTGGCATGTGTTGCAGGTTGTGGTGCAATGGATGTGTGACTGCTCTGTGCCTGAAACATTGCTGCACTGAGTTCAAGTCCACAGCAAACAGCATCTGGCATCAAGTCTAAAGAAAGGATATGAATGGATCAATGAATTTGTGACATATCAATCAACTGATCAAAATCCCTCCCTGTGATAGTTTTCACTCTAGGCCTTCCTGGAGACCAGCTTGTAACCAGGAAGGAACTAGGAAGGTGACCACGGAAGTATTCCATGCTATTCCTTTACGTAACTTGAGGTATAAATAAAGCCAACGGGAGGGACCTCTCTCTCTTCCTTTCCGGCGAGGTTCAAGAACAGTGGGTCCCTGTCTTGGTCTTGCTTATCTGGAGCTGAGGCCTACAGAGACTGCTGTTATCTGCCACGTGTGAGGGGAGAGTGCTGGGCTGTGTCCAGCTGTCCTGCTTCTCTCAAGGGAAGTGGTGAGATTTTGCCAGTTCTTCAGTTTGCTGGTTACTGGGTTTTTAGATTGTGTAGACCTGTTTTGGTTTTGTCCCTTTTCATCCTATTTTGTCCTTTTTCCCTTCTCCCTTCCCCTCTTCCCTTTAGGAAGCTATTTAGGGTTTCTGGGGTTATAGGTATATAATATTCTCGCTGTATATATCTGTTTCATATGTAAAATATATATTTTTGCTATAGCTTTGGCTTCTTGGTTTTTTCTTCCCTCTCTGGGAAGCAGACCCTGTTGTCAAGTTTCGGAGACTTGGCGGGAAGCCAGCTCGAAACTTGCACGCTCCCCAAATTGAGGGCACAGCAGTCCTATGAAAAAAACTACATACCTCAAACAGCATTGTAACCTTCCCCAGTAGATGAAGTCTGACTCAGCTTTCTTAACCAACTCTTTTACATGCTCAGTGTAGAAGGCATAAATGCTGTGTGTACCTTAAATGTGAAACTGTAATTTAATTTTGCATTTTTAGTGAGAAAAGACACCCCATAAATTTAATCTGTATGTACCACTCCCATTGACATAATTGGATTCAAAATCACTACTTAATAAATATTTTTGTATTTTTAATATATGAGCCATTTAGCCCTGAATCAGGCATCACTCGATAGCCATTACACACTGTTTTACCCATTTGCTTTGTGACTTAGTGGAAGTTAGAAGAACCCCTGTAATGGACAATTATGTGATAATAAACCTATGAGGAATTTATTTTCAGCCTTCATCTCCATAATGGTTGGCTTTTGTTTTGAAACGTGAAACATTCTTTATAAATATTTTATCCTTATAAGACCTGTCAGTAAATGACAGATACAATTATTACCCATACAGATAATTATTATCCATAGATATTATGCATACTGTTACCTAATCCTGTACAGATATGGTACACCCCACTCTGGTAGGGAGGTTGGAACTAAATGATCTTAAAGGTCCCTTCCAGCCCAAACCATTCCATGATTCTATATTTCCTGATAAACCTTCCCTGTACCATTAATAATTTCTTATTCCTCTATCCAAGTAGTCATATCTTATAGCAAACCCATTGACAGTGTGATGTTTTAATGTTTCTCACTGTCACAAGAAATCAAAAGTGAGACTGTCAGAGGGAGCAAAGTATGATATTAAACATGTTGCATCTTCAGTATTCTTGCTCATGAGCTCAAAAAGATTGGGGAACCATCACTCTATCATCTTTGTATCTTTCTTTGTACTAAGCAAGCTCAGTCTTGATTTCTTCCATACTTATTGTTTGAGATATGTTTTCTGTGATGTTTTGAAAAATTGCAACTAGCATCTGAACTTGGTATTCACATGGCAGTAAACCAGGAGACCATATATAACAACATTGTTGATTATTATTGTTAGTCAGCATCCCATCTTAAGCAATGGAATATCTTACAAGTTCTTTTTGATTGACACTGTACATTAGGAAGATGTTTTCACAGTGCTACGCACAATTATGTCTGAGTTTTGAGTGCTTATAGTTAATTTAGAGGCCATCAGTATGTACAAGTAGAGCAAATTACCCCTCCAGTATGTCTTCCTAATAGTTTGGGTTTTTTTAGAAGAACAAATTGTATCTACTGGTTGTCTATTGATGGATGTTATTGATGTGCCTCCCTCGGGGTGACACCTTGTGCCCCTGGGCGCCCCTCCTTGAGGGAGAAGTGAAGCCAGTCTCCACAGAAGGACGGCACTGAAGAGGTGCCATGCCCCTGCAATGCAGCTGCGGCACCACCTGCCGGCTGGAAGGCATGCCACTGCCCCGGGCAGCACGGCTTCCCTGCCATCTGCCTTCCCCCAGCTGGGGAAGAAAGAGAGAGAGAACAGTGCCCAAGGTACGTATGGCAACCCTGCCTTTTTCCTATTCCTATTCTTTCTTTGAAATGGGAATAGTAACTTCAACCACCCCTACATCTGTTGGAAAAGTAGCGTGGTGAGCTGTAGGCAATCTAGGAGACTCCTGGAATGCATGAGGGGTAACTTCTTGAGCTAGGTCATAGACAGTCCTACCAGAGGGGATGAGATACTGGATCTGATGGTCACCAATGAAAGTGAGCTAATCAGAGACATCAAGATTGGAGGCAGCCTGATCTGCAGTGACCATGCACTGGTGGAGTTTGCAGTCCTGAATGACATGAGTCAGGTAAGGAGTAAAGTTAGGCCCCTGAACTTAAAGAAAGTAAACTTTCAGCTCTTCAAGGAGCTAGTCAATAGGATCCCCTGGGAGACTGCCCTCAGGGTTAAGAGAGCAGAACAGAGCTGGCC